ACGACGGCGCGTGACGCGGCCGCAGCACGCCCCGAGTTCCGTGGAGTGCGAGGGCCCGCCCAACGCTGCTTGCAGCTTTAATTGAATTTATATTTTACAATTAAAACATGAATCTTTAAGTATGTCTGACCCAACACGTGGCTGAGATACTTTACATCTGCATTATTGGGTCTTATCTGAACTGCGTAGCTAATATGTTATCCTAAAATAAAAGAGAAAGAAATCTGAAATAACATAAAGGAAAGTGATCAAACCATGTGCCCTTAAAAGTGAAAGGAGAATAGCCTTACATGCCACCTGTGTTACTCTACTCTGTGGATCTTTTAACCATTAATATTGAATGAGTGCATCCTCCCCTGGAGAGGAAACACACTGAGCCAGCTGATCCAGAGGGGAGGAATGAGCATCCACACATTAAACACACTGGAGGAGCCCCTTACTGCTGCTATGGTGCCCAGTGAGTTAGTGTATGGACATGAATGACTTCTGGTGGTGATATTTGTAATGTTAAATGAAGTACAGAGAAACTATTGGATGTATCGGATCCAGCACTGGGATTTAAAGAATGTGCACATTGTCAGAGGACAAAAAGGAAACTAAAGGCTGTTACCTGTTCACTCTTTAATAATCCGACAGAAGGAGTTATTTCCCACACTTTTTAGACTTACTGGAGAAGCTCTCACCATGCTCCCGGCTCAGGAGGCAGCCAAGATCTACCACACCAACTACGTGCGTAACGCCCGCGCCGTGGGCGTGCTGTGGACGGTCTTCACCATCACCTTCGCAGTCATCACCGTGGTGGTGTTCATCCAGCCCTACTGGATCGGGGACAGCGTCCACACGCCCCAGGCCGGCTACTTCGGGCTCTTCCACTACTGCATCGGGAATGCGCTCACCTCGGAGCTCGTCTGCAAAGGGAGCGCGCTGGACTTTGGCTCCATCCCGTCCGGCGCCTTCAAGACGGCCATGTTCTTCGTGGGGATCTCCATGCTGCTGGTGGTGAGCAGCATCGTCTGCTTCAGCCTCTTCTTCTTCTGCAACGCGGGGAGCGTCTACAAGATCTGCGCCTGGATGCAGCTGGCCTCCAGTGAGCTCCGGGGTTTGGGCCAAGTTTGGGGCTTCACAAGGAAGTTAGGCTACAGTAAAACGTGGTTTATAACCTTATCATTGCACATAATGGCCTCTTAAATAACATTAAAACATGGGCTATAAGCATTTTATATATTTAGCTAATTAAACATATAAACAGAAGGAATACACAATATTTATATGTTCATAAACAGTTATTAAATATCAACTGCATTTGTTGCAAATTTCAGTTTCCTGAGTTCAAAACGAGTTATTAATTCAGCTCTTTAAATTATTTATCATTATTCACTCAATGATTTAACAGAGACAAACAAATGTAGTAAATAGACTATAAAACCTTACTTCTAACAACAAAAGAATCCATGTGAAAATGGGTTGGGTAGTTACTCCTTCACAATGTATCATTTTAAAAACTGTTCTGTGTAAGATCTTACTCTACAAAGTAACCTCTGTGATAACTATAGTTGTTATTGTTGACATATATAAAGTAGGATCAAATGGAAATAGTCAAATAAAGTACAAGGAGCTTAAAATTGTACTTCAGTATCCCACTCGAGACAATGTACTTTAGTTTTTGTCAACCACTGTTTAGAAAGACAGAGACGTTAACCTAGCACAAGTAATCGGAGGCCACATAGAAACAAGATTGGGACATTTGGGCCTCATAAACAAGTAAGAGATAGAGAGATGAGTGCTAAACACACACCCAAGCAGTAACAATATTATGCAGAGGCATAATAAAGACCAAAATATCCATGAAACAGTCTGAGACTTTCAGCACATCCCGCAACATTTCAGTAGATTCCTTTCATAGACTCACAGACAGAAGTGAAACCTGATTCTGTTTTTGAAACATGAAGCAGCTTGTGAACAGATGTAGCTGCAAGTGAAAGGACAAATAATGAGATTAACCTGGAGGTGTGCTGTTACACTTTCTCCTCTCCTTCATATTCCTCACACCTGCCGTTTAGTGTGTGTGCGTGTGTGTGCACGCTCCAATAAATACCACTCTTACTGTCTGTATATTACACACATACTCTTTTAAATCTATTCAAGCTTCTAAATTAATCTGAAAAGTAGAACCATATCTCTTCAACAGGGCCCCATGTTGGCTATGAAGGGTAGACCGGTTGTTGTTAGTGGGGTTAACAACCCTATCCCCCTGAATCAGCCTTAGTGAAAATATATTTCTTTATTAGGGACAACTCAATCTGTGAGGGGGTCATTAGAGTCTGAAATAATAAAAGTAAGGGGATTAAAAACATATTTGTTTAACAGGTTTGACCATAGATGTAAGTTACAGAGTAATTGAGTCAGCAGTTAACCTCCTGAGTCGCAGATGAATGTCTTGAAATAAGTTAATATAAAATAAATGAACTGTCTTAAAATGAGGAAGAGACTGTGAGAAAGTCAGTGAAGGTGAAAAGGTGTGTGAGGCTAAGAAAGTAAAAGTGAGGTGTTTGTGTGCTAATGTTTCACCTCGTCACCTGATACCTAACATGGCTCTACATGCTGAAGTGGGCAGCATGAGGCCGGCTGTCTGTCTGCAGAGTCAATAATGGATGAACAAGTTCGTCTTTCTGGAGTTTAGATGCTCTGGTGTTGCTAGGCAACTCACCTGCGTGTGTGTATGTGTGTGTGTACCTGAAAGAGTGGAGTGCATATATTTAATTTCTCTGGTAGATTATCTGTCTTGTTTGTTGTTGCAGCAGCGGTGGAGGTGGAGGAGGTGGTTGTGATATTTCCCATCAACAGCAGCAAGATGATCTTTTACCAACGTGTTATTATATAAAAATCAAACAGTCACTGGTGGAAGAAGTATTCAGGATGGTTAAATCCTGTTTTTTAAACTGGAGTAGTTGTACTGGATTGCAACTCATGCTCCATTTCATTATGGATTAATCTGGTTATTATTTTCTCCAATAACCGATCAATTGGTTTGTTTTTGTTTTTTTTGTCAAACAACTAGTGAATACAACTGTCAGATGAATGTGGTCAAGTAAAAAATGCAACATTTTAATATATAAGTATAAAGTAGCATTAAAAGAAGTACCTTAAATATGTATTTGAGTAAATGTACTTAGGCTACATTCTACAGATTTCCCCCATCAAACTCCTTTAAAGTGTGTTTGAACTGTTTTCAGTTTGAATGAAGCACCTGTCTCCTCCCTCTCTCTCAGGCACCTGCATGGTGATTGGCTGTATGATCTATCCTGACGGCTGGGACTCGGAGCAGGTGAAGCGCATGTGTGGCCAGCGGACCGACAAATACACCCTGGGCAACTGCACAGTGCGCTGGGCCTACATCCTGGCCATCATCAGCATCATGGACTCGCTCATCCTCTCAATGGTGGCCTTCAGCCTGGGCAGCCGGCAGGACAAGCTGCTGCCAGAGGACTTCCAGGTGGAGGGTAAAGGTACCATTTGTGTTTCCCAGAAGATGAATCCCACTGACTTTGTTGGTCCTCTGATCCTGTAGCGCCACCATGAGGTTGACCTTTGGGATTCAGACATATTTTGACAACAACTATTAGATTTTTTTACTTATTCAGTGAAATATCTCAAATGTAATTCATATATTGGTACTTTCCATGAGTTAATAGAGCATTTGTTTTTATAAAAAAGTTTCATGGTTGTTATGTAATCCAGATTACATGTAATCTGTTACTACTCAACCCTGAGTGTAGTGTGCATGTTAAAATCTCAGCGGAGTGTCATCATCTGAAGTGGCAATTACATCTCCTACTCCTTTCACTGTTTTTCTCTCAACCACAGATAACGCCTAGGCTCCCCGCAGACAACGGAGAGAAGAGATGGACCAGACTTGGATGAGCAGTGCTACTGACTGGAGGGATTCGAATATATTCCAAGGCTTCAGGACAGTTAATTGAAATCTAAAAATAATGTTCAACAAGTCCATCTTGTCCTTGAAATTGTAAGTTTATTAACAGACTGTTCACCTTCAGCTCATCCCATGAACATTCTGTGGACTTTGCTTTCAGGCCTTTTTTTATTCGGAGTTACCAATACAGATTAGTTGGGGCGAGAGAATTGTTATACATGCTGAGCAGACCATATTCATCTGAACATCTTACGTTTAAGCAGTATCTGGAGTGATTTTGGTTGGACATCCTAATAAAACATGCTACAAACAGTCCTCAAAATAAACTCATCATCTTCAATCATCTGTTAGTACTCGGTGAAAATAAAATCTTCCTGTTTAACAGCTGACGGCACTCTACTGTATCCACCTTCTTGATGCACTGGTGATGTATGTTAATACAGAATTTATATCCAGCAGAAAATGGAAACACTGCAGTGGTGATTTATGAGGCAAACACACAGTCTAGAGTTTGAAAAAAATGTTTATTCTTATTACCTACAGAAAAAAAATCATCAAATTAGGAGGGCAGACACAGACAGGAAACTTTGTAGAAAAACGAGCAAAATGGTTTTAAAGAGATTCAAAGCGTTATTACAGCATTTGTTTTTAGTACAATCTGTTATCTTCTAATCCAACACCTCCATGTGCAGTGCGCTTAAAATTTTCGTACAACTGGAAATCACCTGAACGTTCTTCGAAGCACTTCCAAAAGTGTAAAAAGCAAAAGAGCTCAAACTTTAAGCTTGTGCCTTCAATCTACACTGCTGACAGTCTCTTCTATGAACTGTGCACAGCTTTATCTGCAGAGAGGGAGAGACTAAAGGCCATCTCTTTGGTACATTGTACTGTACTCTGGACATGGATACACAGTTTAAATTGACTGTTAATGTGGGAGAAACAGGCAAAAAGTGATCCAGGTATGAAACTTTTCACATTATATGATTCCGAGTGCTTCTGAGACAATTTAAGATCACGCTGACACTAACAATAATCTGAGATCACAGGTTCCTGAAAAATAGAGTTTGATTTCAGAGGAGTCTCTCGCCAGACCTGGTGCACAATTTTAAAATGTAGGAAATCTATGCTTTCTAATAATGTTGTTCTGCCTGTATAGAAATGTACAAAAGGTTTTTTTTAAACATAAAGCTAACACTGCTAAGAACGTTAGTCTCTCATTGTGCCTGTTAGCATTCCGCAGTTATTAATTCTGAGCACTTTGCACATATTTTAAACAGCCAAAAGCTTGAAAGCTGGCACAGCTAACGTGATGACCGGCAAACAGAGACAGATTTGGCTTATAAATGACCGAAACAGTATGTGGTTTTGATGGCAATCTTTATGTTTCTGTTAACATCCTGCCTTCTTCTGCATTTGTAGACGATCATCTATAGCTAAAAATACAGTTATGTGCTGCAGAGAAAGAGCTGGAGTCAGAAAAACAAGAGAGAACAAGGTCAACAAGTCCTGTGCATCCAGTAAAAAAAAGTCATAAATATAGAGAGAAGACCAAGAGTTCCTTCTATCACCATTGTATTCCAAATCAGGAAAAAGACTCTGCAGCAGTCTCTCTTTTTATCGGATTCATGGAAGTGTGTGTGGGTAGCTTCTGAGAGCCATGACAAGAGGATGCAGGCACAATGCAGTCGCAGGGTCTTACAGACATGAATTTGTTTGTTTGCTGTGTGTTTTCAAGCCCAGGATCTTCAAACCTAATTTATACTTTCACAATAAGAGGGTGGAACAGGTGTGCACAGATGACCTCTAGGATGTGAGCCATGGATGGGAGAGGCACTGGGCTGCCGTGGCCCTCCTTTCAGGCACCAGGTCCAGCATGGGCAGCAGGAAGCTGCTGAAGGTGTGTGCCTCGTCTTTGGACCACTCATACTTTTCTACCAACACCTCAAGTAGCCCCCACGGCTTCAGCTTGGTAATGTGACGCAGGTCGCCTGGGAGAAAATGTTGAATTACAGTGAATATGTGTGATATATATTATGGGTATTATATATTCTTTAAAACAATAGTTTGAAATAGATTATGTGTTAACAGCGTTTTTTGGTTGGAATAAATCTACTGCACCACCTCTATGAACTGGAAATAGCTGCACTAAATTTAATTTGAAAGTTCTGTCCTCAAACTGAGCAGATGGCTGTTCCCTTGAGGCGCCAGGTGCTCAGTCTGAAATAGTAACATTTGCACCAAATACCTGAGCTACCTGAGCATATTTTAAGAAATGAACTTGATTTAGCTACAGCAGACAGCTGGTGGCTGGGCGGCTGTGTTTACCTTTCTTGGTGAAAAACTCCTTGGAGTATTTGCCTGCCATGATCAGCTTCCGAGGAACTTTACCTAGCAGCTCTATGATCAGCGCGATGTGATCTACAGGGAGGCGGAGAAACACACAAACACTGCTGATGAAGCACCAAGGTAAACATAACCATTCAAATGAATGGTTCAAGTGCTGGACTCTATTACAAATAAACCATATATGAATCTGGCATTCACTCATTTGAGTGTGTCTCATCTGTTGGGATAGCACAGTTAAAACCTGATGTCTGATGTTTTGGGGACAGACGTCTCAGGGGAAGCAGACACTAACCTTCATCTCTGGAGTAGTCTTCTCCAGAATGGGGTTCAAAAAGATAGTCTCCAGTAGCAAGCTCGAAGGCCTGAGGGAAAAAAACAAACAAACACAAACTCAATAATCAGTCCATTAATATGGTCAATGAGGTCAAAACCTGGAAGGCCTGACTTTAGTTTTTTGTATCCCATGTCCTAATGTCACATGCACATCGACATATTACATGTTTCTGCTGACTGCATTAAAAGTGTTAGGGAGGATTATGCCTTGTAAAAAATAGCAATGAGTCAATAAAAGAGGAGTAGAAGAAGAATGGAAGCTGGTACACTGGTGCCAAAACATTGAACAAAGCTTTACAATTTGTAAAGCTTCACAATGTGTTTTATCGGCAAATTAACTTAATACAACTGTGCTCAATTCCAATAAAGACTTGACATGTTACCTTACAGAGCTAAAATAACTTTTAATGACATCAGTTCCTGACAGTGGTACAGGTGCTCTGAGTGTGTGCGTCTGTTTACCATGCAGGCTGTGCTCCAGATGTCTGCTGGTGTACTGTAGCCGGCTCCTGTCAGCACTTCAAGAGAACGGTACTGCCGCGTCTGGATGTCATCTGTGAAATGTTTGTGCTGCAATAAGAGGAGACAAACCCTTAATGCTGAGACACAGAGTAACAACTGAACAGGTGTTTGAAAAGTGCTGCTTCTTTTTGAATGAGGTCTGATTTAAAGCACAGTGGGCAAACCTTCAAGGTCCCAACAAGAGCTGTTCATAGACAAACAGAGAGTATATTTTCACTCACCACCCAGCAGGCGTTGCCTAAGTCAGCAATCTTAACCTGCAGCTTGTCAGCGTTAATAGGCTCCAGGGGGTTTACTAACATATTGCCTGATGCTCCTGTTTAAGAGAGGAGAGGAGAGGAGAGGAGAGGAGAGGAGAGGAGAACACAGGAGGATGAGGTAGAAAAGCAGAGGGAAGAATGACCAAAATTTAGACACATGGAAGGTAACAGAGTTAATCTTAGCTGGCAGAGTGCTCATAACTGCACTGGGTCATCTCGACAATTGGGAATAAATCTTCCAGTATCGCATTAAACTTGACAACCTCTGGGTCTGTTTGGGTGATAAATTCAAACTCAGTAAGCTGCTACAGTTAGGTATTAAAGTTTGCAGTTCACAGTGGAAAGTGTTATTATATGTTACATTACTGAGTGTCCTCCAGGTAATGTGATGTGATGCGCCGGGTTAATCCATATGTATTAGCCTCACTAGCACAACCTTTCTGTGGCATCCGCGGTGAAACTGTGCAGCGGGCGGGGCTGCTCCTGCTCTCTCTCTCACACACACACACACACAGAGCAGTAAAGCTCAACATAGAGCCAATACCGATCAGTCAAAAATGCATTGATTGCACCGATAACGATCGTTGAGATCTGGTCGGAACATCCCTAGTTAAAGCCATACTGTAGGTTTTTTCCTCATTGTGCTCTCATGTAGTATTGATAATTTCACCCTTTTAAATGTGATTGCACATTAGTGTGAAGATAAAAGAAAACATTTAGCAGAATTCAGTGCACAATGTGTGATTCACAAACGATAAGTGATGATAAAATTATGCTTAGAACATCCCAAATATTTGTATTAACACTGTACTTATTATAAGCCTCATATGGCTTCAGTAAAGTGCTGGGACTAGAAGATAGACAATAAATATACTGTATCATAATATAGTTTAAAAAAACAAAACAAAAACAAAAACAGGGTAAAACATTTTAACTAACCATTCTGGCTGTCTTCCTCATCATCCTCTTTTTTGGTCTCCCCTCGAGTGTCCATTTCATCCTCCTTCTTCCCCTCTTTCTCCTCACCTCCCTCCTTTAGAGAGGCAGGGAGCTGCTGTGTGTCGGGGTCCCGGGGTGAACCATTACATGTCTGTTGCTCTTCCTTGTTACTTAACGTGTCCTCGGTCTGCGTGTTACTTTGTGGCTGGTTTGCGTTCTGTTGGTCTTCCTGCTCCTCCGTCGACTGCTTGGTCCCTTGTACCTCTACGGTGGTGTCGCTCTCCGGTGTGGAGGCGTGGCCGTTGCAGTTCACCTCCATCCTGTTCTCTCCCTCGGCCGCATCCCCTCTCCGTTCGTTTGCCTCTGGCGTCTGCTGGGGCTGCTCATCAGGAGTTGTGTCTGTGGCAGTGTGGATGATACAACTCTGTTTCATTCATTTCCCAATGAATGGTACTCTTTCAGCAAAAACTACTTATTACTGCTTAGTGTTTATTTCAGATGTCACGTGTGTTGCTATCTTTTGATTATTTAAACCAATAAATCAATAAAACCATTTTAACTGAAACAATTATCCAATCTAGGATCTGCCCGGTCACTCACCCGTGATAGTATGGCTAGCAATGTCTTGCAGCGTGGCAGACATAGAGAGGGTGGCTAAGGAAGTCGTATCTTCGGTGGTCTCAGTTGTTGTCGTCGTCGTCGTCTCCTCATCATCCTCCTCTTCTCCTCCTTCAGGTGTTGCTCCTCCCTCCATCTCCTGGATTCTCTTCTCCAGCAGCTCTGCCTGCTTCCTTTGCTTCTTCTTCATCTTTTTCTTTTTGTTTTTGGACATTTTGGCCATCTTGGGAAAGAGAACAAGTGGAGAGAAAAAGACATTCTTTTACTTTACTTGTTGTCCTCACATCACTAAAAAAAAACAAAGAAAAACATCACTCACTGGTTTGGGTGCTGGAGCGGTACTCACTGTAGGAAACAGGAAATATCAGAGGATTACATTAGTGAACGACATATGTGGCATATCCCTCGCCTCTCTATAATTAGTATTCTGTTCGGGTGGCTGAGTTGATTCACACCAAGCTGTACTAATAGACTCTCTGCAGCGGCACCCAGCTCAGCAAGAGTCACACACTCCTCTGAGCAAGCTGGTAATTTCTATAACCAATCCAGTGGTGACTCATCCTGACACAGGGCTAAGCGCTCCTCTTTTATTAGAAACCTCTGCGTGCTTTAGAACCAAACCCTCAAGTTTTTGAATGCTTAGATCGCATACATATCAGGATTATACTGAAGAGCTTGGAAAATCTGTGTATTCCCAGTTCATGGCTGGTTTGATCCTCTTGACAATACGATCTTAAAACCCAATAAAAACATTAATAGATCAAATTACCTGATAATTAGCGTCTGTTAGATGTATTAATGATAATAATACACATTAATGTTGTTAACCACCAAATTAGTAACACGTGAGTAATGCTGAAAGGCACTGGACCTGCAAACCTCTTTGTTGTCAATCAAACCCCAGAAGTTGCTGAGTGTAGTGCAGAGGAAAAGAAAGATTGTGACCTGCAGAACCCGAGGGAGGTGCAGTGCCAGTCTTCTGCCACTGCGTAGCTTCTGCAGCCATTTTCTTGATGTAGGACTCGTTGACAGTCAGCAAAATGTTCTCTGGTTTGATGTCTGTGTGGATGATCTTACACTTCGTGTGTAGGTAGTCTAAACCCTGCAGGACCTGCAGTGCAGAGAAGTCAGAGTATCACAATATAGGCTGTTCTGAGATAGAAAGGAAAGCTGCTGAGAACAGCAAAATACATCATTCCCCACCCATCAGGGGGCCTGTGATCTTACACCTGAATAAGACAAACACTTCCGAGGTGTCTCTGGCAACTATAACTGACACTATACTCAAACCAAAACATGAAATGATCCTTAATTATATATATATATATATATATAGTACTTAATAATATATAAATATGTACAGTACCTGTCGTATGATGCTTTTAACACAGGGAAGCGGCAGGCCTTGATAATTGGACTTGATGATCCACTTCAATAGGTGATAACCCAGCACCTCAAATACCATGCACACATCTGAAGAAATACAAGGTCAAGGACTAATAGAATACAACTTCTCAAAAGACTACAGAGGACCTACGGCAATAAAAGGGTTAGGGTTAGACCTGGAAAAGGTATGGACATTAAGTGTTATATTTTTCAAATACAACACAATACAAACATATTTTGGACTTCCAATGACAATTCAAGGTTTTTCAATGACTGTGAACTATCTTTCAGTATAAACCATAAAAGTTCACTTTAATTTCCAGAGGATGCCCTGGCACGTTGCCTGAACACACAGCTGTGGACTGGATGGCGTGGGAGAGACAGTGTCAGTGAGGGACATCAGTGACACTTAAATGTGCCAAAGCACACAACTAGCCGAACGTCAGATGAACATCTGTGAACCACGAATAGCATCGCAGTGTGTCAATCTGGGTGTGTGTGTGTGTGTGGCAGTAATGAAATTGCTGTAGACTTTAGACTGCCAAATAACTGGCACTCAAAATGCATCTTTGTCACTGTTGTTGCATTCAAACTCAGTAACTGTGGTCGAAGTCTGGCTGAGATATCTTAATCTTTCAAAGCAATGTAGACAAATGTGGCCTTCAAGCACAATAACAAGGATGAGCTAAATTAATGTCTAGCCTGCGGTGATGCAGTCTTTACCCTTGGATGTTCAACACTAAAGTAGCCGTTTGGCCTGGAATGAGTGTAATCAGTATGCCCAAGCTATCACACTGAGACAGCAACCGTAGGGAAGAGAAAATGGAAGGATGCCAAGAATTTAAGTTGCTGTTGTCCACTGTTCCCTTCCTTCACAGAATGACGGCACTGGACAGTGTTAACCATCTGGCACAGTCATAAAACTGTATGCACCATTTTAAGGACGTGCAGTTTTGTATATATTTTCAATAACGTGTTTTTGTTTAGTTTATAAACAAGATGCTGCTGTATCCATCAATCACACTCAGACACTCACACTCATATAAAATAAATTGAATAGTAGATTTCTGCATCTTAGAACACATGAACTGTTACTTCTTAACAAGAATTGTCTTTCAGAGGATACGAGTCCCATTCATGCCAGAAATTTTGAAGTCATCTAGAAGCTGCACCACTTTCTCTCTGTTGGGGTCACTGGGATCCGTATTTCTCACCTGAAAAACACACAAAGGGTTGTGAAAGCTGCGGGCGCTGGTATAACTGGAGTATAAGCCAGTGTGAAAATATTGATGTCATGATGACTGCGTGACTTACAGATTTGAGCAGCTTAATCTCATCCAGAGCTGTCTCTGTGTAATGTTCAGCACTTTTTACAACCTTCATGGCCACAAAGCGCTTCTCCCTGGAAAACACACAAAATCAGAGTTTTAACTCCTCACAACCACATTAACTTGTTTTTAAATACAGTATATAGCAACTAATATCAATTACAAGTAACATCAAACCTCTCAGCATACATCCATAAAACTTCTAATAATGTCCGAAGACATTAACTAAAAAAGGCACTAGGCCTTTACTGTGCTTCTAAGGTTTGTTCATAACCTATAAATACTACACACAGCCAAATGGCTGGCATACCTGGGCCTCAATGTGGACCTTTATATCCGTATGCATGTACACAGCACTCCTTGCCTCTACTGCTGTTAGAGATCTAGACACTATTTTAGTCCCTTATTTTTAGGAAGTATTACAGCACACTTTACTGCAACGTAGCAGCAGCTGTGGCCTGGCCAAGTCCACGCATGACCTCAGCATATCTGTACATCACTGTCTAAATAGCACATATTCAAGTTTAGGAGAAAAACTTACTGGATGTCCCAGGCCAGCCACACAGTGGAGAAGTGCCCCCAGCCCAGCTTACGGATCACATGGTATCTCCCGTTGAACAGATCTCCAATCTTCACATGGTGATATCCACCTGACCAAAGACGGATGCAGATACACTCAAACAAATATTATGTGTTGAGTATGTAGTGTATAAAACTGTGTGTATTATGAGTCAAAGCTGGAGTATTATCAAAAATGTGTACAATATGTATAATATGTGAAGAGAGAGCAAGAGTGAGAGACAACCTACCCCTGCAGTAGTCGTTGGGGTCCTCCTGCTCATCATCATCAGAGCCTAGGATCTCCTCGTCCTGCTCTGGGAGCGGAGAGTCTGCCTGGCCCGGCTGAGAGCCGCCTCCACGGCCATGAGGCTCTGGTCTGAGTGGGGAAGACAGACAGAGCAAAGAGAGAGGGATGGTAAGGAACGCAAGAGACATGGAGGAAGGAAAGAAGTGCACAGGAACAGCGGAGTGACAGTGGGGAAAAAGGGGGGAAAAGATGTCAGAACATTTGAGAATGTGGTTTCAATAATATGTCATTTTCAGAGGCATTTTATCAAAAAGCTTTCAGTGTGGTTTCATCGAGAGAAAGCGATATGAGAGATAAGGATCAATTCTTATTTTACTAAAAGTAACCAAGCAAGCAAAGATTAGGCGCCTGTTTAATGTATCTGTAATGACCGAACAGTTATTTCAGCATGTCAGTGGACAGAAAAGTAAGCAGTGAGAAATAATGCAGTGCAGTGCAGAGGGTGAACATTTGATACAAAAAACGTCTGCTTTCAAGGCTATGGAGTGTGACAATGCTCTAGGCTTGCAACTATTAATTATTTTTATTATTGTTAAATCTGCAGATTATTTTTTAGATTAAATTGATTAATTGTAAGCATATGTTTAAAGTGCCAAAATGAATCTATGGTTAAGAAATCCATTTTTACAGTTTTGCGAGTGTGTCAATAACAGAAGTCAAAAGAAGTAAATGTAAAGTTCAGCAATCTGTGCTAGTACCACTGGCTGGGTAGGAAGTAGAGGAAGGAAATAAAAGTTTGATTACTGATTATTTTTCTTCACATCACCCCACTGAGGCTGGAGCATCAACACAAAACCAAAGAGTATTAAACAATGTAACGCCTTCGACCGAGACCTAATATCATTAAACATTGATGGTATTTTTGAATAACTGATGGTTATTCCACAATGCTTAAAGGAGCATGTGGAGTTGTGAAAATCTAAACATGGTGGAATAAATGATTAAAACCAGTCCTCCAGTTGCTCATATAGAACAGCCCACTGCAGAGTAACAGAGACCATGTTTGTTTCCATGAAAACACTCACACCCAGGATTCAAGTTAGAAATCAAACAAGTAAAACAAGATGCCCCAGCAGATGGTGAAGGTGCAGCATGTAACAACAACAACCGCTACTCCAGAGGAGAGAATCCAGCTGATCCAGCTGCACAAACCATTGGCTGGGAACGCTGCATACTCTTGAGTCCTGAGTCAGTGAGTGGACGAACTGAAAAGCTTTTAGTTTCTAATACAGACTAACCTGCTGGTGCTGTCCATGGTGCTGAAGGAAGAGACTGCACTGCCTCACTGGATCCAAACCACAGAGTGACAAACACCAGTGACACCAACGAATAACTTCAACACCCTTCACCAATCAGTAATGGCTATCGCCTGGAATGCATCAACATGCATCAATCCCAAAGGTTTTTGTCAAACTTCATCGGTGGTATCTTATATTCATCACATAGTCCTTTCATACACTAAATGACCATACAAATGAATTTAAGTAAGGAGTAACTTTTTTTTGTAAACTTCTGGAGTTGGTATTATATTAATAATATAATATATTATATTGGTGCAGGTACAATATCTTGTGCTGGTACCAAGACCATAAATATATGTTTTTACAATACTTTGCTATGTTTTTGTTCTTTCAACAAAATAAGCCAAATATCCGTTTGGCTTGTTGCTTGCTTTGTAATGTTGCAAACAGCTGTACAAAATTAAATAAAGAAAATCTTAAAGAAGAAGATGAGGAGTCTAAGCAAACATTCCTGTGCCAACACAGAGCATCACTATCAAACTATTTTTGTTTTTCACTGAAATAATGAAGCTCATGAGTCCTTATGATGCTTCACCGTGATACTGCAGAGGGCTGATCATGGTGCACTGTGGAGCTTCTGGCAAGAAATCCTGTTCTCTGCATGCGATGCAGACAGACGTTTCCCTCACAACCAACATTTTTCTTCACACCATTTCAAGCCTCAAATAAACACACGGTGGTCTTGCATACAAAATCTCTTGAAGCAGATTCATTCTTCAGAGCACATCAGTCTTGTGTGCTACACATTTGTGTTACTGAGTCAAACAGTAAACACTGCATGGTGCTGAGGAGGATTTGGAGCTAATTAAAGCAAGTCACATATCTCTTAAGCTACGAAAGGATCTAAGCAGCTGACTTAGCCACGTACTCTCTGAAGAAAAGTGCTTACAGTCACTGCTTCTAAAATTGTCATTTGATAGAGGAGGCAAAAACATCAGTTTGATTGCTTTGGTTGAGGACACTTTGTTGTGATCTATTTGCTAATAATGTTAAAGTCATTAGGATTAGCACGCCACGCTAATCACTTCATTGGCTTAAGTCTAAGCAGAAGGACCACTTTGGATGCATCTCAGCAAAAACATGCTTACAAAGCTGTGTCATGTTCAGCTGCCTGCAGAACTCAACTGTTTGACGTCGTTCCTGGGGGGGCAAGAAGGCAATTAACGATGTTGAGCTGAAGTCAGAGGTGCAGTGATTAATTAATAAATTAGGTCCTTCATTATTTTGACCACAAACGTCTGTCTTGGAGTTCAAGTCAGTCTAAGGTTTCTGTTTGGAGCCCAAACACACAGACACCATTATCAACATTAGAAAGTAAAAATGTAGAAACATAGGCCCTAAAACATATACAGTATGTACTAGAACTTCTGTTTCCAACATATAAGCTGCATCAGATATCTGAAAGTCTCAATATCAGCCAATAATATTGGCCTGCTGATGCATCTGTCTGGCTCGTGTGATTTTGATTAATTATTATTCACCCATCTGCTGTGAGATTTTTATCTCAGTTCTTCAAAAGAAAAGGTGTCACTGGAGTGGGAATACTCAAAATTTTTCATTTGCTCAGAATTGGTTTGGTTTTCAACAAAAAAGTATGTTTGGATCTCCCTAAATCAGTACTTACAGTGTGTAAGTGAGTGGACACTTAAAGTGCTTCATTGTTATGAGGTTTATTATATTTCGTGTTCTCATTAACTTTAGTATTACAATTACTGAAAGACTAAAGTGCTTATATTGTAATTACACTTGGCTTTCTCTTGGCTTGACTGCAAGAGCACTGTCAGCCCACACACTGTGTGGCCAAGGCACAACAGCAGCTACCTTACATTATTTAGTCAGATGTACAGACAGTAAAATCCAGCCAAACACTACTTAGGTCAGTGTCCTCTCATCTGTAGTGTTTCAAAAGTTAAAGACTATTCTCCCTCTCCTGTTTCCTGTATCTCCAATATTTAAAACAGACACACACAAGCTTTAGGGTAACAATAACTTCAATGAATAAAACTAACTTATGAGGAAAACTGGGGCTACAGTATAGCGGTAATTTTGTTCACCAGAGTTTAATTTATCAAGGACCTTTCTATCCAAGGCAAAGATGATGACAAGATTCACAAACAAAAATAGACTATCTCTTCATCTTACTGAAGACAAATACTGACAAAATTACTTACACCACTGACATGTATTAAAAATAAATGTTGCAAAGACTCATGTTCATCCTTGTCATTGAATGTTGGCTTCTTTTCCCCCACACTGCTTTGCACCTGACCTCCTCTCTGTAGCACCTGCAGCGGTCACACACTGTACACATTTATGGCCTGGTTAATGTGAGAGGATGGTGAATATATATGTTGAGGTTAAAATACTTGGTCTTGAATAAAACAAGACCAAAATGTTAACAAAGTTTTTATTTTACAAATATAAAAAAAGACTAAAATAGCAAGTGTTTTTGCTGAATAACAATAGACTAAAATGTTCATGGTTCTTGATAATTATGACTAAAATAGAGTATTAGAATAGTTTCTTTTTTCCACTCAATTTCTTCCAATTTATTAAAAATATGAAGGATTGAGCTAAAAAACTGACACATGGACCTTCGATCCCAGGATGAGCACTAGATCTAAATATAGCTGCCAAAATGAACACTATTTGCAGTCAGTAGGGAGCAGAAAACGAGATGGAGGGACAGGATGGTGGAGGTTACAGGAACAATGTTTACACAGTAGAAGAAATGGAGAAATACAGAAATATTTAGCAATATACATAAAATTGAATAGACATCATTTTGAACCAAACGAGAACATTCACACATTTAATGCCAAAAGAGAACGGATGATCGTGCATGCAAGTTTTTTTCTCACTGCAGTACATGGATAGTTGGACAGAGACAGTTCGATGCCCCCTCACTGCCAGACAACATGGACAAGAACAAAAAGCAGAACACCTCAAGGACTTCCGCAAAACTCAGAACACCTGGAGGTGTCTCCCCCACCTCCGACTGTCTACGCTTCTCACGCCTGCCCACACACACACACACACACATCCTGCTCTTACCTGCAAGATGCCCGGATGCCCATGGGACGTGATGGAGTGGAGGAGGGCAGGAGAGAAGTGCAGGTGTTTAATAAAAAGCCTTCTTACTCCATCAGCCAGGAGAGAAAACAGGAGCGATTAGAGGACCAAAAGAGGAAGAAGGACAGACAGTGAAAAGTAAGAATGAAGGAGGAGAGAGTGATCAGTGCTGATAACTGAAAAGCAGAGATTATAGAGGGTGGGGGGGCGGCAAACAGAAGAGAAGAGTAGAAGAAGAGGCTGGCAAGGAGCAGAGCAGAGGGAAGGAAGAAGAGGAGAAATGTAGAGGCTCTGCTGTAAGCTGGAGTCCTAGAGCACAAGGCACCACTGCACACTCGCTGACTCTCTCGCTCACTTTTTCTCTCACTCTCTCTCTCCGTCTGACCGAGAACTCTCCTTGGCTGTCGTCAGCCTCTGGCCCGGCCCCCTTCACTGACAGCTGGGAAATGATTGGGTGAGGCAGCCCGGCACTGCATTGCAGGTGAGGGACGACATCAGCACCCCCCCTCCTTCCTCCCTCCCTCCTTGTCTGACCAAAACAACACCATTCCTCCCCCCTCCTCTGTCTGTCCATCATCGTCACCCCCATTTCATACGCCTGCTGTTCCAACAATGTTTCACTCATCCTCAATCCTTTTTGGATTGAAACAGCAATGCTACTCGGACTGTTTGTTGTACATGCACTGTGCCCCAGCC